GGTGCGATGTGATCAAATCTATCGAGAAATTTCCTCTGGAAGGCTGCCCAATTAGTGAAGGGGTTTTGTCCGTACCACTCAAAAGCGGTTCCGGCTAACCTTCCGGGAATTCGTTCTCGGAGCAACTGGTCCGACCAGCCCTGGGCTTTCAAGGCAGCTAGCCAGGTGCGAGGATCGGTGTCATCTTCAGAAAAAATGGGAACTTCGGAGGAAGGAGGTACAAAGTACAGGGGATGATTGGCTATCCCCGCGTGGTTGTCGTCGTCGTTTTCACCCCCGATTCCGGGTTCCACCATCGCGGGAGGCGGGTTTCGAGCCCGGCTACTCGCTCGGTTCTGATTGCTATTCGCGGGCCTCCGTCGACGGGGAGCCAGCCTACTCAAAAAAAAAAAGCGAAAATTATAGTGAAAAGATCAAAAAGAAAAAGGAGAAACTTTAAAACAGGGTAATCATCATAGGAAAACCTCGGAGCCGAAATGAATCAGCTCTGATACCAACCTCACACCCCCTCGCGGCTTTCCGTACGGGGTCGTCGATCAGAGTTCTAGGAGGGGCGTGGCCGAGGATTTTTGGCCGTAAGGGTTGAGTCTCCCGGACGGAACGGGAGGCTCTCGTTTCTTGGCAGAGGTTTTTCTCGGAGTCGAACTGTCGTCACGAAGTCCCGCGGGGGTCGGATTACTCCGAAACGGTAAAATCAGAAGGGTTTCTGTGAAAATGAATTGCCGTCGTGCATCGGGGTGGGAAAAGGCATCAGGGGGAGGAGGCCATGGCGGCAGACGGCAAAAACTCCGGCCGCCATGGGTTCCGGAGATAGGTGGTGGGTTCGAGGCCTTCAACCCTCGGCGTCAGACTCATAGAGCCCGCGCGAAAGTTTCCGGGAGGGTGAAGCGGCGGGAGGACTCGCCGGCATCTGAATTCGAAATTGCGCGGGCAGCGCCCCCGCACTACGGAAAAGCTCGAGGAAACGTGTCGCTCCCTCGTAACCCAGGACCAGCCGTCGCCACGAACACGAGTCCCCCTGGCGACAATAGCGACAATCAAACTGCGGTCGCCACGCGGCATGAGCGGCCGACCAGGGCAACACCGTTAAACCCGTATAAGGCAATATTAGAGTCGGGGAATCATAACGATCAATCAACACAAACCCGTTCCCCCTTATCTCACAAGCCCGAGGCGGGTCTTGCCAACACACTTGCTCCGTCCGTCTCAGCGCGCGCCGTACGTCCGCATCGTAGTAGACGCTGTCGTCATCTGTGATGGGGAAGGTCGATAGCGAAATGAGACGATCGGAGGTACGTGATGAACACGGGCAAGATTCCGCGTTCCCGGTCATCCGAACCAACACCGAATCCATACAATCAATCGCCGCAACTCTTCTCTCTCAAAAGTGGGTGGGTGCGTAGGGGGAGGATGA